AACAGTCAGAACTCTTTCTTTTAGTTTTCTTGTTTCTGAGTAACCTCTTTTGTTGGTGGAGCTATTGTCTTTTCTAGCCTTGTACTTTCCATGAAAAAAAAGAAATAAAAGAAAAAAAGAAGCAACGACAAAAGAGTTGTTGTTTTCCTTGCTTTCCTTGCCATTTGTTTGATTTAGGCTTATTATGTAGTTTCTTCATATCTTGTAGCCTAACGGTTGTTCATTTCAGGTTGAGAAGACACAATGTAAGAATTGTCTTGTATGGGCCAAAAGTGATAGCTTAGCAAGGGACATAATCAGGTTATCGCCGGATATTAAGGTGAGTAAAAACTGCTTTTAGTGTTACAAGATCTCTTTCTGCAATGTCTCACCCCTTTGGGGGTTTGTATCTTTGAACAATTTTTGTTCCAGATCTCTTTCTGTAATGTCCAGTTATGGAGTATTTTGTATGATTAGAAAAAAGTCCCAAGACTACAGGATTATAGCAAAACTGACAAAACTTAAGAAATAACAACGAAAGAATAATTAGAAAATAATCTTGATCAAGAGCACCAAGCAAAATTCTGTCTATCGAACCAATCACACAATCTTTCTTCAAAATCTCCTTGATTTCTTTCTAACCGAAAAATCGCTTTGACCACATTGATTCATAATAATCTTCCTTTATTTTTCAGCGTCACTCCAGTTAACAGTTGAAATGTTTCCTTTGACCCTTTAAACCTCTTCCACATTCAGTTAAGATCATCGAAATGTGTTTCATTCGGTTCGTAATATCTTTCCATCTGATACTGGCTCAGCTAAAAGCAGTGACTTGATGTAATTGGTTTGTTTTTTAATTGATCTACTCCAAAATTCTTTTACATGTGTCAGAGAGTTCCCCTAGATTTCGTCAATTGCTCATTTATAAGTAGAGGATTCGGCGTAACTTATCGAGATACGAGACGCATGCTGTTTTTGTTGCAGGTAGGGTATATTGTTATGAATGACCCATCTACAGGGGAAAGAAGCAACTTGCTGAGAATGAAAGGTGCCAAGGTGGTTGGTGTGTATCATCCATTGATTGACGAAAAACTTATGAGCACACTGCACAGGTATGCCTCCCATTTGGTGCTCGACTTTGTGCTATCGAATCAAGTWGTTGACACTTTTTGTTGATCAGGAGGGACAAAAAGGCGTATGCCTGGACAGTCGATGATATCGATTCGATGAAGAGAATGTTAGTCGAGGCAGTCGATGGTGTCGTTACCAGCAACCCGACGTTACTTAGGAGTGTAATGCAAGATATCAGAACTACATGCCTGGAGGATGGTTTTTCATTGTCATCATGATACTGATTGATATGCATTTATGAAAGTACTTCAACTTTCCAACTCCAACGCAAGCTATTCTTTATCTATCTTCTGTCAAAGATATTGATTTGTCCCTAACAAATTCTTCCATTTTTATGTATTTTTTAAGTACAATSTATGGGATGAATATTTRGAGGAGATAGATGTCTTAACCAATTGAGTTATGTTCTGGTTGATTTATTATTATTATTTTTCTTGATGTATGAGATTACAGGGTCTTTGATGAATCAAAGCCATTAAATGGATAAAAAGCTCACAAATTTCAATTTATGGATTTGTTTGTCACTCTTCAACATAAATGAATGCTGAAGGATGAATCTGTGATATGACTAAGTAAAATATATTCATACAATCACCAAGTAAATTGAAGAATCTGTTGACCGTTTACTCCAAAGTTTTCATTTAAAGTTCAAAATCTTTCATCTTCGACACTAAATATTGTAGGGTCAGATAGCTGTCTCGTAAAATTAGTTGAAGTGCGTTCAAACTGACTTGAACACTCACATATATCAAAAAAAAAAAAAAAAATTCTTTCATCTCAATTTATATCTTTCTAATAATAATAATAATCTCAAGTTATAATCTGAATTTCTAAATTTTCAGAGTTTGTGTTTTTTTTAGTACAACATGTAGGGATGAGAGATCGAACTCACAATCTCTTAGTTGGAGAAATATGTCAATTATTATTGAGCTATGCTCGCTTTGACCTCAGAGTTGTGTTTCAAAATTGTGTTCAATGGATCCTTAAATTTGTGAGACATTTTTAAAATTTTAGAGTCTCAWGAAACACAACATTGAAAGTTTAGCAATTTGGAGACTTATTAGACAATCCTTCGAGTTGAGGACCAAACTCATAATTTAACTACCGAAAAGAAAACTCTGATAGGTAATCTAAAGAGTATCTTTAGTGTATTTAATACAACAAATATCAAGTGTTGGAAAGGTTATGTTATTCTCAGGACAAAATTAGGTGAGATTACAAAAATATCTTGTAATCTTATTATAGAAAATTATTAGAAAAAAAAAATATGAAAAGATAAGGTAGGAGAAGAGGGTCACAAATATACTCCCAAGAGGTGTTTTTTCCTTTTTTTTTTCTCTTTTTTTTTAATAAATTAATAATGACCTAGGGTTGTTGAAATTTTATAATTCACAATGAAAAGAAAGAGTAATTAAAAAATGTGAAAGAATTCATATTATTATCTTCTGTATATGGACATGCCAAACTGCAATGTTCAACCCAAGGACAAAAAGGGAAAAAAAATTAGTAAGGATTGACTATTGAAAGCATATACCCAAAGATCTCATTGTCTTCTTCTCTCCCTCTCTACCTTTTAAATGCCAAACYGACAAAAGGCTCTTTTGCACAACTCATGCCCTTCAACTTAGGAAATTAATATAAATTTGAATGTTCTGTTGCTTGCATCTCTTCTTTTTTAATACAAAATAGGTAAAATTACGAATTTAATCATTAAATTTTTAAATTTTGTGCCTAGCAAGTTCTTGAACTTTCGGAGTTCTGCTAAATAAGTTGTTGAAATTTAARAAGTGTCTAATATGTTACTGAACTTTAATTCTATTAGACAAAATTGAAACGGTGTCTAATAGATTAAGGATCTATTAGATACAAAGTTGCAAATTTAGGGCTTATTAGATATTTTTTTAAATTTAAATGACATATTAAACATGATTTGAAAAAGTTCTGAATCTATTAGATACATGTGTGGCTCTAGTTGGCTTGAGATTTAAAGTTTAGAGAYGTATAGCTAAAAAATATATTTGTGTTCTCTAAAAAGAGTTTAAATTCTATTATGGTTCTAGATTTTCGTACTTATCTTAACTTAGTCATTGTATTCTCGAAGCGTTGCATATCAGTTGTTTTTAAACATTATATAAAGATTGAAATTTTATATAGCATCACATGGGTTTAACAGGGTGTATTATTTTTTATATTGAGCTATGTAAGAACAAAATTCAATGGAAAAAAGAGAATAAAGAAACCAAAACATCTGTAAAGGCCAACCAAGCAAAGCAAGCTCTGGTTTAGAAATTTCTTTTTTTTTTTTTTTCTTGCTGTCATTTGYTWAAAAAAATGGACAAATTCTTCAATTGCACTTCCTTGAAATATTTAGCAAGACCCTAAAAAAAATATTCAACAATCTCAAATATTATAGATTTAGATGTTCAAAGGAGAAAGAAAGCATGTTTATCTGCAATGCCCAATGGCTTTGTTTTCCATTATAATATTATATGGCGACGAGGAAAATCGTTTACTTAAACCCTTACTTAGCCTCCTCGTCTGCATTGAATTCTTTCTCAAGTGTTTTTCAATTCCACCTAACTTCCTTCCCTATTTGGCCCTTTCAGATCTTTTTAGTGCCCCTTCGCCGCATACCTTCTTCTATATTATTCTCATTTCTCACTTTCGTAGCTACTTGTACTGTTTTCTTTCTCATTTGGGCTCGATTCATCTCATACATATCCAGATTTGTGCTTATTTTCATCTGGGGTTTCTCTATACTTGCATTTTTTTTGCACTAATGGCTCCATTTTTCTTTCTTTGAGGTCTTGTATCACATTGTAGTTTCTCTCCTCTTGGTTCTCCTGGATCTGGGTGTTGCTGATTTGAGTTTATTGTGGTGAAGTTTTGTTTTCTGGCTTCTGGGTCTTTTGCACAACTTGAAATTAGTTTTGGGTTTGTGAGATCTAGTCCATTGGGGGGTTTTTGAGTGATTTTTGAATATGGCTTATGACCATTTGGATCCATCTAGAGAATATCCTGATGCTTCTGGACCAGGTCCAGTTTCAAGGCCTGCACCAGAACTGAAGGTGTATCAGTTCTTTGTTTTCTGTATTCCTATCCTTTGCACTTTCATTCTCCTATTCCTTTTCTACCTTCTTTATCTTCGTCGCCGAAGGGCTGATTGGGCTTCCATTAGAATGCGAACTTCTCCGCTCAACAACAATGATATCTCTACAGTATGCTTCTTCTTGCTTTGCTTTCCCTGTGCTTTTTACAGTCTGCAGAATGATTTGTGTTTGTGTTTGTGTTTTGATTTTATTTTCAATTAGGTTGGATCTTTGAACTCGAGTTGCATACTTGCATCTATACTCTCTAAAGTGTCCCTACAATGTCTAGTTGGTCTTTAAACTCTYATGTTTTAACAGGCCTCTAAATTTAAAGAAAATGTCCATTAAATTCATAACCTTTCAATTTTGTGTTTAATGGATCATTTTAACTTTAAAAATTATCTAATACACCCAAGATATATTATACACACAAAACTGAATGTTTAAGAACTTCTTAAATACAAAATTAAATCTTTAGAGGTTACTTAGTTGCTTCAGGCCTTTTAACTTTCAATTTTGTATCCAATAAGTCGTTAAACTTTAGTTTTTAAACTCTTATTTTTTGTGTTTAATAGGCCTCTAAGTTTTAGAAGAATGTCTAGYAAGTTAATAACCCTTCAATTTTGTGTTTAACACGTCATTTTAACTTTTAAAAGTTTCTAATACCYCAAAGATATATTAAACACAAAACTGAATGTTTAGAAACTTCTTAATACAAAATTGAACTTTCAGAGGTTACTTCGTTGCTTCGGRCCTCTAAACTTTCAATTTTGTATCTAAAAAGTTTTTTACGAAACCAAACTTATGATTTAACCATTTAATTATTGATGATGTTGAACTTTCCTTTATTCTTGTGGATCAGGAGTCTGAAGCTGGGCTGAAGAAGGAATTCAGGGAGATGCTGCCCATTATTGTGTACAATGAGACATTCTCTGTCACCGACACGCAGTGAGTGGATTTTTCTTCTGTTTGATTTCTGTCTTTGACAAAAATTTATATTTAAAAGACATCACAGTTTTCTGGTAAATTTGTTATGTGAATTCAGGACTGGCTAGAGGCTTAGTCTCTTGCCAAGTTCATTCAATTCTTCTCTTACGATGTCGGTTTCAAGGATTTTTGTAATTATTTATTAGTTTTTGTTATTTTGGATCGGAGCCTTTTTCTTTACCTAGTTCTATATTACTTGATTCATTTTGCTGCTGTCCCTTTTTTGTTCTTTTTCTTTTTCTTTTCTTCCTTAATGAAAACTTGGTTTTGGGAATGAATAATGATAATACATTTTGAGACTGTCATCAGCAAGTCGCTTCGGTTTCCCTTTCCCTTCTTTTTTTTCCCTTTTTTTTTGACAATTGTACAAGTTACTATTAATGAATTGTCTCCGTCCCTTGTCCAAAAAAAGACAATTGTACAAGTGGGTTGGAGGAATTCAAATGATTGATGTGTTTTAGGAATACGATCAAAGTCTCAAATTAGCTAGGAAAGAGGAAGATTTATGATATATAAGTGAGGAATAATATCTGATATGAGGTATCAAATATAAGCCAGCATTGGACGAGGTATTTTGGGTGAAATCAAAAGTAAAGTCACGAGGCTCATGCCCAAAGTGGGTGAAATCAAAAGTAAAGTCACGAGGCTCATGCCCAAAGTGGACAATATCATATCTTTAGGAAGACAGGAAGAGGTCGGTTGTCCCTGACTAGATGGAAACTTTATATCCGACTCTACTTTGATTTAGATAAGAATATATGTGTTAATTGGCTCAAGTTGGATGAAGATAGGCTCATCCACAACATAAAGGTCAACTAAATCATGCTCTACTTCAAAGGAAAGTTTGAAGATTAGAAAGAGTGGAATAAGAATTTTGAAAAATGAAAAGAGTTGGGTGTTGATCATCAAATTCAAAGCCAGCCTATGTTTTCTTTTCACAACTCTATTTTCTGCCTGATCTTGAGAGAGCAAATTCTTGTGTGTTTTTTTTTGTTGTTGGCAGATGCTCAGTCTGTTTAGGGGAATACAAAACAGAAGATAAGCTTCAGCGGATACCATCATGTGGGCATGTATTTCACATGGATTGTATTGATCACTGGCTTTCCAACCATGCTACTTGCCCACTCTGTCGTCTCTCGGTCCTGTCTCCGTCTAAACCACCACATATTCAGGTCGACATCGGACTCAGATCGTCCAACGAACGAGAATCCAATCAAGAATCTCCTCAACAAGGCAATCAAACTCATCAGCAAACAAGGCCTCCGGTGTAAAATCACGGAAGGAGCTTTCGAGGAGAAAGACTCATTCATCGCTGCACTAAAAAAGGACCGATGATATATGCAGCTTTGAATAATTCCTCGAGAGAATACGGCCTGCCCGAGGTAGAAATCGGGACATAGATCGATGTTCCATCAATGTCACCGAGACCCGGGTTTGCAAGCTAGATCAAGTGGCATTTCAAGACTGCAGTAGGAGGGAGGACCAAGACCTTTCAAAGTACTTCCTTCCAACAAACAGATCAGGAAGCACTTCTTGTTCTTGCCATCACCAATTAGAAACATGCTGCACTGCTCTTTGTTGAACTTTCTGGTTCCAATTCTCTGTTTTTGAGCATATTGGGACCACAATGGCATAATAGACCCAAAAAATCCAAATATGTAATCTATGAACTCATAATATATAATATACAAATTGTGATAAGGTTGTATTTGACTATTTGTTGTGTTTTTTGGAGCTGTCTTTGTCAGTACAGATTGCATTTTGGAGGTTTTTATTTTGTTAATATTATTTTTGGAGCATATTTGGAAATTGAGTGCAGTAGTTAACTTGTAGGTGTGACTAACATGTTATAAGAAAAAGAAAAAAAGAAACAAAACAAAATAATGGGTTGAGTCTACCATTAACTTTATGGRGAATATCCAAGAAAAAAAAATTCCTCTTCTACAATTATCCATTYGACTTGAGTTTTGGGTTAGCATAATAAAATTATCCTTTTGACTTGAGGATCAGATTTACAATTTAATGTTTTAAAAGTTTTTTTTTTAGACAAACTTTTAATAACAATGTGAATGTTTTTTAACTATATTTTTAAGATTTCAACGATATGATTCATTTTAATTTTATAAAAATATTTCATTTCAGTAAAAGTAGTAGTTCTTTATTCTGTAGGACAATAATTTGGGGATAAGGTGATTGAACTCTAACTTCGAGGGAGGAGTACATGTCAATTACGATTGAAATTTGTTAATTTTTTTTTGAGACAATGAAATATGCTAATGTTAATAAAAGTAGTAGTATCTATTTTGATTCGTGAATTTTTATAATGTCCATTTTAGTGCCTAACTTTTAAAATATAACAATTTTGATTTTTCTAAACTTTCAAAATAGACATTGATCTATGAACTTAGAGAAATTTTATAGATTTGTATAGAGACTATTGAAAAAACATTTAAGTTAATGTAAGAGTTTTTGTTATTAGTGGGTCAAACGATACTCAATATTTCATAAATGATTATTATGTTAAATATCTACAAATCTAGATTTTCGTATTTAAATTATAATGTTTTTGAACCCATATTGTCCTTAATTAATATTAACTGATTAAGGTGATTTATTTTGTATTTGAATAATTATATTTAATATGTATTCAAATCTTTTCATATTTCATGGACACCCTTTTAAATATCAAGATATTTTCAAGATTTTTCCTACATAAGCTTTAATAAAGATTTAAACTTCTTTCAAATTTAAAATTTTGTTTAAATACCCTAAGATCTTTTAAATTTTAAATTGAAATTTGAAACTTAGATTTCCTATAATTTCTAAACATTCAAAATTTCTAGCTATTCCTGGTTATATAATATATATACCACTTTGAAAGTCATAATACTTCTTTTTCAACCCTTTTCCGACGAACATTAYATAACAGTATGATAAATACATACCATCCAATGTTAAAAAAATATTAGGTTATATAACATACACCTTACTGCATTATATCCAAAATATATGCCATATACCTATATGAAACATCTACTCTGTAACAATATAACATACGGAACATATACCCAACATAAACTCCGTAACAACATAACTAGCCTCCACAAAACCGACCCTTCCCTTG